CATCTCACTTGTATTGATTCTCATTGAAATTATGTACAGGTTTTCGGATGACATTTATGGCATATTTTATTTGTTGGTGTAGATATTTTTAGAAATAGAAGAGAATACAATAGATAAAGTCTCTATATCAGAATAATGGTAATTGAAGGAGAAAATGAATAAAAAATCTTGTACAACACGTTTCATTCTTGAAACTGACTTCTTCTGACTAAATAATTTTTTTTATTGATGGGATCATATATATGTAGGGGGAGGAAATAAAAATATAAACAAAGGTTGGTTATCAATAAACATCAAGAGAAACACTGAAGATGTGGATGGTGCTTAACTTTAAATTTAACTTTAAAATTTTTGGCATCTGATGTCCCGAGATGGGCAGCCTTGCTGACACCAATCAGATTCTTACTGCTCTTGTTTTTGTCACAGTTGTTTGCAAATATCCCATACTGCAACAGCATGAACAAAACTCCTCTTGTAAGATTCAATCAATAAAAACATAATTCTGTATGGAGAAAACCTTTTGAAGAATAAAACGTTTTTTTCCATTTTGTCAGTCAGATTATGTGTTTTAGTCTTTTGACACCATAAGCTTTCTTTTTCTCTTTTTTTTTTTTAATCATTTCACCCCAAACAAGGTTATAATACCACTAAGATGCAAAAGGTTACTGGGAGTAAAAGAGAATGAAATTTTAGTGAGGAGAAAAGACAATAAAAGAACAGAATTCATGAAGGCTGAAAATGGCAATTAGTGTTTTATTTAAATTTTTGATAATTTTTTTTTTTCACCCAAGCAAGGCAGGGGTGCTACTAGTATGCAAGAAGCCACAGAGTGTAAGTAAGGAAAAAGACTTGGTATAGGTGGGGTTGAGGAAAGGATAAAAAGGAGAACAGGGGTCAAGGCAGCAGAAGATGTCGATGGACATTACATTTAAATTTTTGAAGATTATAGTTATCAGGTTAGCAAGTAAGAGGAAGGGAGTTCCTCTGTCGGGAAGTGTGAAAGAAGAAGCTATTGGAGTAGAAGAGGCAGTTACATTTAACTGTTTCAACAGTAAAAGGGAGGGACCTAGATGCCAACCAAGTAGCACACTTAAATTCATGCAGTCAGGGCACCAGTGAAAATAGCTCATCAGAGAAGATGCCATGAAAAAATTTATAGAAAAGACAGAGGGAAGCCACATTATGTTGGTGAGAAAGGGACCCCAAGTCAGGACCAACTACATTGAATATTCACCTTTAGATTTTGTTGAGAACCTTGAGATGAACAGCGGGGGTGCCATATCATATATGGCAGCAGTATTCCATGCAAGAATGAATGGTAGATTTGTAGATGTGAAGGATGGGCTCAGGCAAGAAAAACCTTCCAGTGCAACACAGAGGACCAACTTTCCTTGTGATAGATGCAGCTATTGATTCAATGTAGTTGTTCCACCTCAGGTCAGTGGAAAACATGAGACCAAGAAGGTGCAGTGAGGTGCTCTCATGTAGATGAACATCAACCATGCTGATAGGAGGCAGGGAAATTTCTCTATGGTGAGTTGGTAAGGGAAGCCAGAAGAGAGTTCCTCAGGCTAGAAATAAGAGAAAAGAAACTATTAAAATAGACCATATGTTTGCACCAAGCTAGTTCAACAGTAAAATGGTGTTAGTCAAGGAGGAAAGTGCATCAGAACAATTGCCATGAAAATATTTATAAAATAACAGAAGGAAACTATGTCATGGTCGTGGGCAAGTCACTGAAGACAAGATGCCAGGTGATGATTGATTATATTACAGACCTTTCTTTAGATTTTATCATGAATCTCAATATATATTACAGGACCTCCAGACCAGATACGGCAGCAATGTTCAATGCATGGATGTATGGTAGATTTATAAATCTGCAAGATGGATTCTATTGAGAAGAATTGCCTCGCATGGCACAGTGAACCAACTTTCCTAGCAGCAAACTTGATTCAATATAATCACTTCTCTTCATGTCAGGCACAAAGAGTTGCTCTCCTGGAGGTTAGCATCAGCCATGCTGATGGAAAGCAGAACAGATTTCAATATTATCAACATCATTAGAAATAAATGCACCCAAAATCTAATAAAAATAAATGTGAATAACATTTCATAGTATGTTTATTATTTTTGCCAGAGGTATAATTTTCCCTATTTTCCATATTTTTATTAATTAGTTTACTTCTCCTCAGAGATAAAGGTGATATTGCGGCACTACAGATGGATGCTAAGAATATAGAGTGTTGGTGCAATATATGGGCAGGGGTTGTCCAGTCCTTGTTTACCAATCTTGATAGTGTTCAAAAACATTTACACTTTTTCCATATGTGTTTTAACAAGCTACATTCTGGCCCCTGACCTTTACAACTGAGACCTGTCAGGCTTACAGCCACATCATGTTGAAACACCAGTTCCCATATCATTACCAAAGTTAAGCAACGTCAAGCCTGGTCAGTACCTAGATGGGTGACCACTTGGAAATACCAGGTGTTGTAAGCTTAACTGTGTATCTGGTATAATGGGTAATGGCTTGAAATTGTTAATCTGAGAGCCAAGTTCCAGTTCTCATTAGGTTCATTATATTTATTTACACACAAATACCCTTGGGAAAGGTATGAATCCACCTCTTCTCCCCCTAGCTATGGATTAATTAGTAAGACATGTATCACTAAAACATTATTATCTCAAAAAAATTCTTACTATTTAAAAATATTTTCTGGCTTTAAATAACCTGCCATGCCATGTACACAATGTTGAATCATCATCATTCTCTTTGTATTTCATTAGTAAGAAGTAAGTTCCACTTGGACAGCTTCTTTCCAAGATCTGCTTTGTGAAATAAACTCCCTGCAGGATGTTTTCCCAATCACTACAATCTTGACCTCTTCAAGTCTAGCGTTATCGGTTATCTTGACTGCATAACCCTCATCAACTTCACTTCTTGCCATTAATTAAATTCATACAACTCCACACAGTAGTCCTCTACCTTGAGTAGCTCTTGGGCCTTGTATTAGGTGAATGTTATTATAAAAATAATACCATGGACTGAATGTGAGTAGCAGGGATGTTTTAAGGAAAGTGGAAGCAAAAAGGAATGCTTATACCTAGATTCAGAAAGAGAGGATTGAATGTTTTATCAGGCACATAATGAGAAAAGAGAGCTTGGAGAATCTGACACTCACAGGACATATTAAAGGCAAGAGGGCATAGGAAAACAGTGAGTAACCTACCTAACAAGCTTGTATTAATGGATGGCAGAACAGGAAGGGAAAGCGAAAAGACAAATCTTACAAAGAGGTACAAAGGATAAGAAGTTGTGGAGAACCATGATCGCCCACATCCAGGAAGAACATGGAACATAAAAGAAGAGAATGAACTTTATACTTTAATAGTGACATCATATTAAACAAAAAACTAGTTATATTTTTAAAAAAATGAATTCTTTTGAAATTGTAATTTGTTTTTAAATTATCTTTTTCTTTGAGAATTAGCTTTAATATGAACATATCGTTTATTCATATTAAAAAGTGTTTTGCAGTTTTCTTCTGTCTGGTTAGGTTATGGCAGCTTCCATTTCAAGCTTTACAATTTGTAAAATCTTGTAAGAATAGTCCAGACTGATTGTCTATTATTTCATCCACCATCTTGTAAAGCAATGTCTACTTCTCAGTTGCAGTGTTACAAGTTGTATGAAATCAATATCTGTAATAAGTGTCTCGTCTTGTTTTGGCCAGTCAGCTTACTAAGGTCTGTCGGTCTGTCTGTCTGTCTATCCATCTTTGTTTGTCGACCAGTATTCCCGTCCAAATCATGATGGTATTATAAAACAATACAAAAATCTATTTCTTTGATAGGATTAAGAAGTTTGACAGACCAGTGCAAAAACGTTTGTTGCAAAGAGATTTCATTTGAATAATCAGGATAATAATACCACCAAAATCTCTTCATATTTATTTGATAAAACAATACATTGCTTTTCAGGTTAGAAGATTCATATTAATACAGTATAAGAATTTTGAACTTGTATTGCCCAAACATTTTTTGTGTACTGTCGCTTCTTTTCAATCAGACTATAGGCCTGGAATTAATCCAAATAAATTCTGTTTATGAAGATTCAAAGGTGAATTGGAATAACAAAAGAAACTTTTCAGAAATTGTGGCACTAAGGAATTGAAAAAATATTAGAAGCCCAAAAAAAAGTGTTGTATTCTAAAATGATTGTCATGTGGTGTTTAAGTAAGATTATATGACCAAATTCATTTGTTTAGTAATTTTAATTAAAGTAATGAATCAAAATAGCAAGAGGAGGGTAACAAGGATGTATTTTCTTGATGAATTTATTTAACCTGTACAGTTGGATGATTCAAAGAGGTATAGAAGGCCTAGAAGGATTTGTTATCGATGAATGTAACCATAACAATATATGTTACACAGATGACAATGTGTTGATGCAGAACTATAACTGAAGGTAATATTAGTCAGTGTAGTGGAGGAAATAAAAAAGAAAGGACTGACTAATATGGTTGTAAGCAAAAGGGGCAACTAAAGATATTTGTTACACATCGAGTCATAAAAATTACAAAAGTGCAGAAAGTGAATTGTTTGTGCAGTATAATAAAAAACTATGACAGAAATTCAAAGGAGCTTAGAAATAGTGGAAAACACTTTATCAGAAACTGTGTAAGGTATTAAGGCAGAGTCTCAAACTTAAGGACACAAGAGTCATTCCATGATAGGGGAGAGGTACAGCAAGCCAAAAGTAGGGAGGGTACAAGCCACAAATGTGGAGTACACAGTGAGTATCAAATTCAGTACAGTAATATTGGTTTATAGGATGAGCTTGTTGACCATTACTCTGTGACAAATTTCCAGGAATACTGCTACTGAATATTGTTATATCTGGTGTCAATTTCCTATTCCTGAAATATTCAATCTTGAACAAAGAATTCTGAAGTGATTGTAACAGGGTTGATAATTTGGGTTGGTGCAGTAGTAATCCCGACATGATATTATTTTTTGAGTGTAACAGGGTTGATGTAAATAACAAGAATTTGTATTTTCTTTTTGTGATGTGAATTACAGAATATTGGTATGGTGTGTGTAAAAATTTTCTCAGTGTCTACTTTGTTTAAAAGGAAGTGCTTACTTGGTTTGGTTCTGAGAATTTTGTTTGTGAGGATGCATTTGAAATCGTCTGTTTTCAATCTTCACAGAGCGCTGTGTTTCTGTACTGCTACTGCTATTCATCTACTCATCTACTAACTACTCCTACAAGTACCCTAGTCTGGTCTACTAACCTTCTTGTGGTAGAAAGGTCATTTTTATAATGATGAAGGTTAAGATGATAAAATATCTTTCTTTTCTATCATCACTGATGACGGAGTTATTTTTAGAATGATGAAATATCCTTATTTTTTATCATCCCTGATAGCCAGGTTATTTTTAGTATGATGAAATATTATCATCATTCTGGAACATAACACGATAATCACATGGTGTTTAAAAAAATTATCTGATCAAATTCATTTGTTTAGTAATTTTAGTTAAAGTAATGACAAAAACTGAGGACATCAAAATAGAAAGAGGAGTGCAACAAGGATATATTTGCTTGATGGGTTTATTTAACCTGTACAGTTCAATGATTCTTAGAGAAATAGAAGACCTGCCAGGATTTATTATCGGTAGCCATAACCTTTATAAACTATTTTATCCAAACTGCACTGTGGCAATAGCATATTCAGAAGGAAAACTGAAAGAAATATTAGACAGAGTATTCAAGGAAATTAAAAAAAAAAAACTGACTAATAATTGTAAGTTACAATGGTTGTATGCAATTGGGAAAATTGAAGATGTTCGTTACACATTGGGATATAGAAATTGCACAAGTGTGGAAATTTAATTAGGCATGCTGTATAATAACAGAAAACCAAAAGTATGACAGAGGAATTCAAATGGTAATGGGAATAGTAATCAACTGTTTCCTTATAAGGAAACATTTGACATTCATTGACCAAGCAGCCAGTGTGACTTGAGTTATACTTTTCTTCATTCTTTGGCCATTAGGCTGGGATCAAAGTGCTTTCAGGTGGACCAACAACATTTTTTTTCTCTCATGAGATATGAAAACTACTTCAAACATTCCACAAGGGTAAAAAAATTGAGAAACGCTGGTCTAAAGTAATCTAAATAAATAAATGGCAAATTCTGTCTGTCTGTGTATCTGAAACCCCTCTAATATTTGTTCTGCATGGACATATTACAACTTTTTGGAATCAGAATAATCCAGGGATTGAAAATCTGTTCTTCATCTTGTACTTGAACCTCCAGCATTGGGATTTATATCCAGGTAAGGGGAAACAGTTAAAAATTAAAATTTTAAAATGACAGAAAAAAAAATTAGTGATTTTAAACGTTTTTAATTTATATTGAGTATAAAGCTACAGAAAAACTTTGTGAATTTAAAAAATATTTGTTTTAAATTCAGTTTAAAATATTTCCAAAACTTGGTGAATTGAAGAAAAATCTTATTTCTTCAAAATGCCCAGGAATCAGAATAAAGTGAGAGGTTTTGTGACCTGAGATTTTGAAGTTCTACATGATTTTTGATTTGAAAAACTCAACTCAATTGAAGTTCCATGGAGTTTGTGATTTGAAGAACTCAATTTTCGGCCTGAATTGGAATTTTGGCCCAAATCAGAGTTTCGGCCCAAATTGAACTTTTGGCCCAAATGTTTATATTACATTTAATTTATAAGCTATCAACAAGAACAGAATTCTTTGATGGCCTCTGTCTACATCCTTAATTTATTGATAAAAACAAGGAATATTTGTCTTTGTTGGAAATCTGACTGTAATGGATAGTGGCTTGAAATAAGAAATTGGATAGCTGAGTTCAAATTCCAGTCAGGTTCATTACATTCACTTATGCACAAATATTCTTAGAAAAAGTATGAACTCCACTAAGCTATGGGTTAAATAGTAAAACATATCTGGAAATAACATTGTTATTTTTTTATAATCATTTCACCCCAAGCAAGGCAATAATGCTACTAAGATCAAATGGAAGTGAAAGAAAAAGAGAAAACTTTAGAAGAATCTAGAAACCCAACCCTAAACAGGAAACAAGAGATAAGTCTCTACTCCTGTTCAAAAGACAGGAAGGTGTGTGAAATGAGCAATAAACGAACCTATCTACTTCTCAAAAATTATTAATACAATATTCACTCACAAAAAAAAACTATTCTTGCAAACCAAAATATGTTTTGGCATTAAATAACCCACAAGGGATTGAAAAGCTGTAAAAAAACAAATCAGTTAATCAATCAATGCAAGGGTTCTATTGTGTTAAGAATTGATGCATCATAAAAATTATAGATTTTTTTTCTTCTGTGTTTTGTCCATTGTTATAACAAATGCACTAAATCTGTAAGTAATTCTGACATTTTACACCAAAGTAATTGTTTGTATTGGAAATCATCAAAGGATCATATAAACTAA